TGTTGATCTTTGTTTCCAAAAGCCATATTGCTGATTGCTCAAGATGTTGAAGCCTCACAAATATTTGAGGATATGGTGGTTTACGACTTTCTCTATGATTTTTGATATCACTGATAGCAAAGCGACTAGTCTATACTTATTTTGAAGATTTTTCTTGCTCTTTTCACACCTTTCTTGTAAGACAGGTTGAAAAGTCTGCAAAATACTGGTGTGTACCCCAACATTTATCGGTAATTCACCCAACACTGAAATGAGTTTGTGGTCAGAAGATCCCAATAGACACTTTCTGGATCTATACCTAACAAACATTGGGTATAGATCCAAAAGACTAGCATATTCTCCATTATGGTCAGGAATCTTGGTTGACTTATTTAAATCTGAGGAAGTTCATTGCACATTAGCTTCCCTTGTATGTTTGTTTGTAACCGACTTCTTTGAACTCGACTTTGACTAACTTTGAAGGGACATTTGAATTTTTAACTTCGTACACTTATCAAGAATCGGTGACAATACAATAATTTCATGAGTTTATCTCATTATCCTGATCAGGATCACCAGGATTAAATAACTTTCTCATACAGTCTCTGTGTGAGAGCAAATGAGACAACCAGACTATCTGCGCATGCCCACCGTTCATTTATTTTCTGGCTCGAGCACGCGGCTCATTAGTGTTGGTGGTTTCATAGATGTCGCTTAGGCGCTCTTCTGTATGGAGTTTATTTGAAAATTGACACACATCAGAATAACTTTGAGTAGATTGTCACGTGATGTACCAAAAATTGTGTCTCTCTATTGCTACACAAAAAATGATTTCGTATGAAGACTGACAAAAACATAATATTATTATAGCTTACAAAATTAAAACAAATGGGCATGAAATAGCAAGCCAAACTGAAAAATGAAGAATAAATAATAATTTTAAAAAACTGAAAAACACGCTTCAATAGCAACTCAAACAAAAAAATTAAAAATAATTCAAAACTAATTCAAGATTGTGTTCAACATCGTCCAATAGCTTGATGTCACTAATGACACAATGACAAATAAAAAACAAAACATTTCCAGGCGATTTTTTCCTGGTCATTCAGTTCTCCTTCAAAGCTCTTATCCTTCATGAGTTGTCGTGTTTATTAGCCTACAAATATTCTCCCTTCAATTTTCGCGTCGCTGAGTTTGGGCAATTTCTCTTTCAGATATAAAAATCCACTGACATCTTTGCGCATGGCTTTTACAAATTTTTTCATCAGCCCGAGTGCAACGGTGGTTAAAGTATGTCATTAGGGTCCACTAAAGGCTTATTTTGAACATTTTTACGGCCTGGAGTAAGTGACTCACGCTTGAGCCACATTTTATTTTTAAAGTGACATTTTCTGTCTCTGCTGTTCCATTCGCAGATAAAACAGCAAAATTTGTTGTAATCAACATGTAGTTCAAGCAAATAATAAATTACTTTCAAATCGCCACAAATTTTCCAAGCGTGTTCACTGTATTTCATTTTTTCAAGAAGAAATCTCATATTTTCGTAAGTCTCTTTCATGAGCAACCGGCAGTGAAGGGTGTTCGTTTCTGTTATGCAGCAACACTGCTTTCAAACTAATTTTTGAGAAATCAATGAACAATCGCCAATGACTTGGATCATATTCAAAATTCAATAAATTTATCACAACATAAATATTATGACAATGGACTAAATCATTTACTATAGAATCTATCTGAGCTTTTATTTCATCGTCACGATGTCGAAAATAAGAAACTTTTGAAAGTAAATTCCAGTCCTTTAATTTAGACCCCAAAATCTCAGCCTGTTTTTAGACAAATTCAAATCATGTACTCAATCGTTTAAATCACTTTGTGTTTGCGGTCTATAACTTGGATCACTATCTTCATATTTCTCATGCGAACAAGTTCTTCCGAACTGGAATCCCGTCTTTCTGGTCGATTTGGAAGCTTCGGCACTATGTAGGATGCGTCTGTTAGCCGACAAAAACACTGTTGACCTGTGTTATATTTTTATTATGGTTCCAATCTGGCAAACAGCTTTCAAACAAGTTATAGAAAATTTTATTAAAACAACGATAAAAATAAAAACAACAATAAAAATTAATTGGCGCTCCGGGACGACTTCATTGATTCCAGTGGCGCATTTGGTTTTTCAGCTGCAGGAAAACCCGGAATAACCTGCAGCACCAAATCATCCGAAGATCTTGATCTACCAATGTCCTCTCTCTTATAAAAATGTAGGGTGTGTCTCCAGAGGCCTCAATAGATTCAATGCATCGCCAGAACACTTCATGACACGACTATCGTCAAACTTAAACCAATCCGTTTCGTCTTTGACCAAGGCGTAATAATGACCAAATTCAACGCCAGCACCACAGTGAACAATGACTGCATGAATATTATAGTAGTGATCTGCTAGTATAGTATTAACCAAGTATTTATAACAATTGATACTTAGCACCTCACGTTTTTTTTTTGTTTTTTTTTGTAAAAAGATTTATTCTGATTTCAGACTAATTAAAAGTCATTAGTTACCTAGTTTCCTTTTTATTGCATGTTTTACTTGTAGTCTTACTGTATGCTCAGCCTCCGGCTTTTCTCTTTGTGTATAAAACCTGTATTTGTACAATCAACGTTATTTATTTGTACTATCATTGTTATTTCAATCTTCAGAATAAAGAAATATAGGAAAAACCGCAACGAACTGAAAGGTTTTTTTGTTTATCTGGTATCAATTCTTGGAAAATGAAAAAAATAATGATGCTTCATATCAGTGTATTACTTAGATTTTTTTCGAAGAGGCAGATCATTCAATTATGCTCAATAGGAAATCTTTCTCATATTGCATTTCCATGGTGTTTTAGCGTTTTATTATTCTGATTACTTTTCGGTATTTTCAAATAGAGGAGAATGGTTTCGAAAATTTCTGCTGAAGTTCCACTTCACATTTTACTGTGGTTGAACCATTATTCCTCCATTTTGGTAATTGAACGTACCAATATAAAATGAGATTCCTTTGTTTTTTACCGCTTTTTGTTTGTGTTACAATATTCACTCAAGGCTATAATGATTCAATGATTTCAAATATAAAGGAAGACGGAAATGAAATATGATAAACAAAACATCGAACTGAGAATATTAGTTCATTGTTAAGAATCCAACTTATTGTCTTATCAAATGAATATTACTGGAGTTTTTCCCAACACCAAACCGTTATTTTAACACCTTGACACGTGTTTCGATCACCAAGTGTTCATCTTCAAGAGGAAGATCAAGATCTGTTTGATCTTCCCCTTGAAGATGATCTCTTGGTGATCAAACACGTGTTGAGGTGTTAAAATAGCGCTTTGGTGTTGGAAAAAAAATCCAGTAATATTCATTTCAACACCAAAGGTTCCAAACAGTGCATCACAAGGCATTGTCTTATTGTCTAGATTCAATAAGGTAATCATTTGTATTATACTTGATAATTCCATATTATAATTTCAGTAAATCACGAGATATTTGATACTATTCATCGTGAGTTTTCAACAAACAATTTATAAAAGCCCAACACGTGTTTTTTTTTTATAATAATATATATCTTTGCCAGAAAATGAAGTGCAAATGTTGACTGACTGAAATTTTAGAACATGTTTTGCAAAAACACTTCAGATACGTGAATAGACTTATTACTGAGTTGTTAACATATGAAGAGTGCTTTAATCAGTTTCTTTCAATTTATAGTAATGTTGGATGAAAAAGTTCGAGTGGTTCTATCTATGAGCTGTCAATTTTCGCGAATTTGACAAAAGGCGTGGAAAAATCATTGGCTTGTTTAGTTGAGTATTCACTACCTTCTCGACATTTCTGGAACCAAATATATATTTGTGGAGAGACCATACAAATTTAGGAATGTATATTGAACGAAGAGTGGTAATATTCTGATTTCTGAATATCGCTTCATGAATTTGATAACACTAATTTGCAGCCAATTTACGACTGTAATGCCAAAGGTGGTTCTTCGTTAATTTTTGGTCCCTAAATGCGAAAATAATAACGAAAATTTCCGAACACTTAAGATTTTTGGGTTATGATTTTTTTCATTAGAATTTAACGAACACGACATTCCAAATTTGCTTTTCCCCTAAATTGAGGAAAAGGTATGAAATCTGGCAACACAGTGGCTCTGCCCAGTATTCGAATCCGCTTCTCGAATTTTCGATACTAGAATTTTCCAGAATACCAGAAGTACGGAAGCGAACAACCTGAATTGAAAGACCTAGTTCGGTACATCCACATGTCCAAAGAGAATGCTGAACTATTAGGGTCTAGATTCCAACGATAGAATTTACTAGCAGCCCCTAAAACCAAAGTTACAATATTTAGGAAATGTAACCCTGAGCTATCCTCGCTTTTTAGTTTTTTATTATGCAGGATAAAATGTGTGTTTGTGTATATCAAAAAAAATGTTTTTGATACGTTTCAAATGAGCTCTCATAGAAAATGAAATGGTTGGCATATATCATTCCATTTAAAAACCACGTTCCTTTTGAATACCCGGTATATTGGAACATATTTGAAGAGAAAACCTAATGCATTGATATCTGAATCATGTAAACGGAATATATTTTCAATGAATTGCTGGATGTAGATATAGATGTAGATGTAGATGTAGATGTAGATGTAGGTGTAGATGTAGATGTAGATGTAGATGTAGATGTAGATGTAGATGTAGATGTAGATGTAGATGTAGATGTAGATGTAGATGTAGATGTAGAGGTAGATGTAGATGTAGATGTAGATGTAGATGTAGATGTAGATGCAGATGTAGATGTAGATGCAGATGTAGATTTCATAAACGTCAAAGTATTCGAGTGACAATTCATTGTGATATTTTCACTAGACAGTTTACAAGACCGCAACACGTGATTCGTATACAATAGCTTCATCAAGCATTTTCAGTTTTGTAAACTATCGAACGAAAATGTCACAATGAAGTGTTTCTTGAATGTGTTATGATGTCTCATCTTGTATCGGCCAATTCCATCACAAAACGTCAAAGTGGTAAATTAAACCTCAAAAAAAACTTTATATCCATAGTTTGTACGTTCGTATATATTTTTCATCCTTAATATTCGTTACTTGATAGTTCTTTACTTTGTCGAGTACGGTAAATTTAAATCCTTTCCTATCCCACACTCACTATATCATTTCAACAGTAACTCCTAAACTCAATTCTATGCACGACCAGTTCCATCAATGATTATTTTATTCCAATATGAAGTATTTTTTTTTTTCTAGGTCTCATATGGAGTGAAATAAAACAGCTCTGGGATGTTGGCCTAGAAGAGTATGTCCGGGACATGTGGAACGTTATAGACTTTATCACCAACTCGCTATACGTAGCCACCGTAGCATTAAGAATCGTTTCTATTTATCAGGTGAGTTCTGTGCGAGAACAGTTTGTACAATAAAGGGTTGTGTGGAAAGATCTGGTCGTATAAAAGACAGAGAAGAAAGTGAAGCTGCAGTTAGCAGTAAATACAGTAGGGGCAACTGACAAATACACCTTCGTCATCAGTTTGTGCATCCAAAATGGGTCAACAAAAAATTAAATATAAAAAACATCATTTTCTGCTCCCTTTACTGTTGTTTTCGTGTTTTTAATTTGTTATTTATTCAACAAACAACCTTTCCATGAAAAATTGCTTTCCTTTGAGAAATTCATTGGAAAATAATCCAATATTTTGATTTTTTATATTTGTGTGCTATTATAAAGGACCAGAACCGTACAAGCTTTGCAATAAACATACTTTTCCCTTTAGTACTAGATACAGGAGTAAGATTCAAGTGAGTTTCCAATGCTGCAAAAGTTTTCATTACACCCTTCATTCCCAGGCAAGTCTTTGCACCCTGCCTAGTTTGTTATTGGTGGTTGTTTGCTTCATCTTCAGCTACCAGCTCAAAAATATATATGTTATCAAGGATTTAACCACCATAACTAGTATGTCATGTTTGGTTTTAGCCCAATGTCTTCCCGTAAATGCATTTATCCAGCATTAAAGTTAAATTTGTCTTTCATTTTACTTTTTCAAAGTATTGATTTCAGATCAACCTAGAATCTAATATCGTTCCCAGATATTTGACACTTCACCAACAGATTCAACTCTCCACTTCGAAATTTCATAAATCCTAAACTCTCTCTCCTGGTGGTTACAAAACCTCTTCCTCATGGTATACACTCATGAGTGTATACCAATCTTTCTCTAAGTATGCAGTCTATCGACCTACAGTTTGTGTCGTCGATCCCTCTTCTCCTCGACGTCTGGATGATTGATGCTGAGGATATATCATCAAATTCTCCCTCGATATGGAAGAAAAAATATCTTCCCCGTTCTTGTAAAACATTTATGTTGGCAAACCTGATCTGTACGCATATTGGACTCGATACATTGATATGTTAGCCAGTGTCAAGTTGCTAACATGTCTTTCAAATAGTTTTCCTATAACATTCATATACCAAAGAGATGAATCTGATTGGTCCCAAAGCCTTCGCAGAATCTTATCGGATTTTCCCAGGTTTTGGTGGCCTCATTCAGTATCCATATTTTGGGTATGCATTCCGAAGCCAGACTTTCTACAACAAAGTTTTTGAAGTAAAAGTTTCAGTCTATTTTTGCAGTATACCATCTGATCCCGACGACTTACATGATTACAAAGAGTTCACAGCATACTCAATCTACTCAAAATCTATAACTCCGTTTGCCACTTGTCAATCCTTCCTGAACACCTGTTTGGAGATCTTTAGTTTCAAATTTGTCAAGGATATAGGTTTTAGATTTAGGAGTTGTCTTGGAGAAGCGATTGAATTTTCATGAGCACTTGAGTCTGGCAATTCAGAGAGCGGAAGAGGCAATTAAACGCAACTACCCTCCCATTGCACAAAATTCCAAACTGTGTGTTGACGACAAGATCCTGATATATAAACAAACTATCAGGCCAGCTATGTTGTACGCTTGTTCTGTTTACTGCAACCTCAAGGTGCGTATTCACCAAAAAAGCGAGCACGAGCGAGCATTCGTAAATGTTTGCTCGTGTTTGCTCGACATATTGATGTCTCTTCCACACCAGAGCGAATATCTTCAAGTTCGTAGTCGTAGTTGATCCACCTACTTTGTGCGAGTTCTTTTTGATGTACCGCCTTCTTCTCCGTCTTTTCTGAACGCGAACAAGAATACGTTCGCTCGCTCGCTAGCCCGTACTCACCAGACGATTATTGATGCAGAATGCTCGTTCGCTCTTGTTTGTCGTGCTCGTTTTTTTGGTGAATACGCACCTTTAAGCGGACTCCGTTGCGAATACTCGAGACGATGATGAGCTTAAATTCGTCTGAAACTCTGCAATTTTTACTTTCAAATTTAATTTTTGATCACATTCTAAATGATAATCATTATATAATGTATTTGCAATAATTCACTCCACATTGATTTTTTATTTTTGTGTTGTAAGCGTTAGATAAAGTCTGTTGTCATTATTTCAGCATTCAAAGAACATCTTAGGTCCCACTATGCGTTAAAGTTAATTACTTTTTTTTTATTAGCCTCATTACACTTGATGGATTGTTTCCAGTTTTGCGACCCTGGTTCCATTCTTTGATTTCAGAAGTACAAGTTAACGGTTTAAAACCATGTTGAAGCGTATATTCTTCTAGTTTAGAAAGTAGTGCGACAATATGAAAGCAGTTCAATGATTCTGATGCTGGACATTGACAAGCAGCATTCATTACTTTTCCATCATCATCAAGACCAATTACCACGTCTTAAATTGTAGGTTTGAAAGATGATTGGATTTTTGCCTTTAAATAATAAATATTTTTACAACAATTATCCTCCAAATCTTTTATACAATCACTAATACAGTACAGTCGACCACGTGGAATGGCTTTTGAATGACCACAGACAGGCATTAAATCATCATCCAGTTTTTGATCATCGTCATCGCCCTTCTGTAAATTTTTACCTTGTGTAATATACTCATGTATAATACCTTAACAAAATGAACGGGAATCTGTTTTGATGAAAAAGTTTGTCAATTATCATTAGGATAGAAAGTAGTAGGGATTGGTTAATATTGTAGAACAATCTAATGGCACTGTTGATCCAGATGTAGATGCCAATGTAGATGCTGATGTAATTGTTAAAGCTGCTTGTAAACATTGTTTTTTCTTCATTAACAATATTCCTTTATCGACACCTTCAAAAATAACTCTTTCCCTTCCGTTATTTATACAATCGTTGACTCTAATGCATACCAATAAAAACTTACTAAAATAATAAATACTAACTAACAGATAAACTGATCACTGAGTCATCATTGTTTTCGAAATTATTTTTAAAATTAATTAAATGAATAAGAAATGAATAGTAAATTTTTCATAGTTAATTACCATTTATTAGAATAAGATATAACCTCAATCGTTTATTAACTCATATTCATTTATTATATTTAATTGAATTTATTTCATTACCATCTATATTTGATTCATATTTCACTCGGACATAAATCTGAAATTCATAATTATTTTTAATTTCATTTATTACAATTTGAATCTAGCCCTACTCTTTTACTAGAGTCTGTATACTAACCTGTCTATAAATTCACTTTTTTTCCCAGTTATTTTTAAATTACGGCATGCAAGCCAACGTTGTTACAACATTGTTATCCTTCACAATTGCAAATTTCAGTTTTGCTCTAGGAACATCTTCATCTGTTAAAAACATTCTTTTATAATTGTACTTTACCATATGTTTATATGAGGATTAGGCAGTGTTTGTCCCTATCGAACTACTAGCGGTGCTAGTGAGTGATTTTTCGTACTTCAGAGGAAAAAGGTTCATTGGAGCGTTTACGAGACATAGGTCGAGCCGAATACGGATTTAATCTGACGGCTTGCTAACAAACACTTCGAGTGATTCCTTCCGAAAAGTCCGCTGACTAGTTATATTACGGCAGTTAGAGTTTATTATAATCAACCCCGCCTTCACGGTGGGTTGATTTATGAAGCCCTCGATATTTTCCACAAGCGACATGTAAATGACCGTTCGTAAGTTCATGAAAAACTGGCATAGAAAACTTTCTATAGACATTCTCTCCTGGTTTTTTCACAAACTTTTTTTAGGAGTATCTAGCCAAAAAACACATCGACAGTTATGTTATCATTTGAAAGTCCTGAATATCGAAACCACGTAATGGTGTGCATAAGCCTTGGCGGCTGGAGGCACCTCACCCGGTTGTTTCTAACAAAGTCTTTGTTTCTGGGTGAGCGTCAACCCGCTAACATCGCGGGGGGCGTTCCCCACCGCCTCCTCTGGGCGGGTGCACGAGGGCGCGCTTGTCTGAAATAGAATCACTTCGCTACTCTACGCTTAAAGTGAAGGTACTCATGAAATGTAGACATGTGAATAGTTTATTTCATTAAACATTTTTTTTTGCTTTTTGATTTTGGTTTTTTGTATTAGATTTGTAATTTCTGGCCCGAGGAAGTGCACCTGAAAAAGCTTCATTATGGTTTATTCTAATTTTGTATACCTCCAGATATTTAATGTTAGATGAATGTAGGTTCATGATGTGAATTACTTCACTTTTTCAGTCTGAATATATCAACGTGTCATATGTTACTGCTATGTCGGTGTGAAAAATTTTCAAACAAGCACAATCAGTATTTTATCGCGATGAATTAGAAGTTTGCCTTTTCCACATTTCAGAAAAATTCTCCATCATAATTTATTTTCTTTTTTCAGATTATGGATGCTGAATATTCTCAAAACAGTGTATGGGAAAACTTTGCTTTCTTCCATAAAAATACTTTTTTTCAGTATTTTTATCAACATATTTCCCACTGTTTCCATCATATCAGATAAAAATTTCATTTGCTGAAATTTTATGTTTTTATTCCGAACTGTTTCGCCAGGTGATATTCTGAACGTTTCTCTAATAATCCAATTAATTTTCCAGGTCAAGCTATATCCTAACGCTTCGGAAATCAGAAGGGAGCACTGGGATGCCTGGGATCCAATGCTGATTTCCGAGGGACTGTTTTCAGCAGCGAACATATTTAGGTGAGCGCATGAAACTAGAACTTTAAAGCGTGTATTTTCCTTCCAGTTTGCGTTTCGCCAGCAGTCGTTACTTTAATGTGTTGTGCCCCAGCAGAGCTGTTAGGAAACTCCACAATAATGATGTTGTCGCTCACATCAAATTAAAATAAATTTGTTGTTGGATTTTATGTACGTGAACTAGTGATACACACTGAATTGTGAAGAAATTTTACCTGTGCAGTTTGTTCACTTTTGAACAAAGGAATCAAATTATCTCAGAAGAGGAAATGACTGCAACACTCTGTTTGACGCGATTTTTATCAACTTAGTTGGTTCATCAGAAAATGAAGAATACCTACTAATTCCATACTCTAACTTCTAACAACAAAATCAATCAGACGGCATTCAACTGGGTTACTCTTTCCTGCAACCCCCAATGTTAGCCGCAAATGGATGAACTGATATACACTATCCACTATACAGAACAGTTTTTAACTTATGCTACTATTGCTATCTCGGAATATGTATGTGTTTAAAATATGTTTTTTCCGTTAAACAAGTTATCGCACCACTACGAACGACAACCCTCAGAATTCGTAACTTGTGCGAGCTGAGGACTAACAAGGTCTTACCTTTTAACATGTGATTCCTAACACGAGTTGGACGATAGCGAGTGAAAATAGAGCGTTCAGCCTGCGGTTTGAACCATCAACTCACACATCGGCCGATTGACTGAGTGAACGAAGCATCCACGTCGAGCCGCCGGCTTCCGACCGACAAAAATACCTACAAAGTCTGTTGAATGGGACAAAAATTCCCTATTTTGGAGATCTAAAATAATCTCTTATTAGATTCAGAATATCAGTGGTTGTTTTTGATATTCGCTAAAAACTGCAATGTTCAAATTTCGTTTTTTAGTTCCACCGCCCCCATTTCGAATGATTCAGAAAAATACTGTTTAATATTTGTTATGATCGAATATAATTCAATTTACAATGCAACCTTTTTTTCATTAGATTTCATCATCAATAAAAATGTTTCAATAAGGACCTCCAGTTTTTTTCATCCATTTTTGTATCCACTGTAATAACACATTCAGCTTTACAATACCTGTGTTTTCCGAAGATTGTATTCGAAAAAACATTATCAATACTTCTGTAGGCGCAAAAAGATAGAAACCAGTATCTTAGATCTTAAAGATATATCAACTCTACACATGTTTCGGAAAATTTGCAAGTAGAGGTACGTCCATGAATTTTAGGAGTTTTGTATAAATATGGAAGTACCGTTCAAAAGCCAATTTTTATCGAACATAAATGTTTGTTTCAGATGTTTTCTGGAAAATGAAAATAAATGACAAAATATTTATGAGAGTACTGAATTGAACTGACTTGTTTGAAATGAGCCATGAATCAACAGAGCATGTGTAATTATCAAATTTACTGTTAAGTACGTAAATATGCTTTTCGTATACGTGAGACGTATGAGAAATGCTACTGGATATCTAGCTTCTTATGAGGAATTGTACTCTGAGAGAAGTCAGCCATACAAAACATTTTCAAAGCATTGAGAGAAGTTTACGGAATCATGGTTCATTTAAAAAACCTTCTGGTACTGATGGCGATACTGAAATTGACATTTGGGGTGAGTTCGAAAAAAAATCTCAGTTATAATAAAGTGACATTTATTAGATTTATGATTTTTGGGATACCGAAAAATTGGAAACAAAGAAGTATCATTGAGAGAGCTTGCACATCATAGTGCTATATCGACTACATCAGTTTGAAAAATTTTGAGAAGAAATAAAATAAAATCTAATAAAGTCAGAAAAATCCACAGACTATGATATGTCTACTCAGACAATATCGTCAGAATAATGAAATCTGTGATAAAATTTCATGGTGTGATGGGAGTAGATTCACAAATGGTTCAACAGAAATTATAATTTTGTTACTGGCGACAAAAAAAATTCCTCCTTACGTAAAGCTACAAATTTCCAAAAAAGTTTTGCAGTTCATGTTTGACTTGGTGTGCTAGACACCAAGATTATAGGTCCGTACTTTTCGAAGACATCTTTGACGGGGAAATTATATTTGGAACTGTTTGCAGAGATTTTCTCAATATATACGACCACGCCATGACGATGGATAGAAAACAATGGTTCTATCATATGGGCACCACGTATACCTGATCTGACCCTTCTGATATTTTCATTGATAGACTCCATTGAAGACAAGTATTGGATTCAACTTTTGGTAATGTTGACGAATTGAAATAAACAATAAGGAGGGCTAGCATGGCTATAACTTCACAAAATCTGAAAAAGTGCCATACAAATACTACTACAAAAGCAAATATGTGTTTTAGGAATAATGGACAACAATTTGGAACATTTAATGAGATTTCATAAACGACGTAGATAGTTGAAAGTATTTTGACATTAATTCTTTTCTGTTTGTTACTTGGTATATTATATGTTCTTCCGATATAACTTTGAGTTCTGGACCCAAAGAATATTGTTTCCTACGTTTTTGTTCAGCTCTGATCGGGAATTGTATGACCATGCAGTGATGATGAGAAAAATTTCGGCTTTTTACACCATTCGAAATGTAGGCGGCAGAGATAAAAAACGAAATTCGAAAATTCTAGTTTATGACGAATTTTTCAAAAACCACCATTGATATTCTCGATCTGAAAAAAGATTATTCTAGTTTCCCAAGATAGAATTTTTTTTTTCCAATTCAATCGATCTTTCCGAGGTCTTACCGTTTCCGAGTTAGCAATAGTGGGATAAAAAAAGGCCTTAATATGCAAGTGAATAATACACTATAATATACAATTACCTGAAGAGTCAAAATTTGCAAGATAACCATATCACAAAAAAGAGAAAGAAAACATCGGTTTCCAATATGGTTGCATCAAGCAAATATGCTATGAGATATCTTTTGAAAGTGAAAATAGAAGGACACATATGACTTTTTCTAGTGAAGAGTGTAATCTTGCACTCAGTATTGTATTTCTGAATGAAAATTCAAAGAAATACGAAAGTTTCCATTAAATTAACGTTTTGAACTCCTCTGTTATATTTGAAAAATGTCCTTTGCTGTAAGCTATGACTACTGATACTATTTTCTTCACTTGAGGAAAAGTAACAAGGTTATGAAAAAGAAAATGAAGTCTCTATATTTTTTGTTGTGAATAGTAGTCGAAGTTATCAGAAATATATCTGGTGTTCTTCATATAGACATCTAATCACCAAAAAGAATGGAAATGTAATTTTACTGAACGGAACAGTCTGATAGATTGGATTGAATTTTCGAAAAACTTTGTTGAAATTTACGTATTCAAAATTGAGAGTCCTTCCAGAATCATCAGTCAAAAGTTGCTGCTATTGAAAAAAAATTACATAGATATAAAAAAATGGAATTGACATGTATATCAAATGAAAGTCATCATCATCATTCGTCTTAATTCACAAAAGTTATGTAGAACATATATTTTCCAGATCTTGGAATATCTGTGGAATTTCGAGTTTCTTCAGGAAAAAGTCACAAATTAACAAATAATATAGCAAAATCCTCGTTTATGTTTATAAAAAGAGAATGTCAAATTAGTAAGAGATTACATTGTATTGAATGGATAGAACATAATATATTTCAGGTTTATATGTTGATGAACAATTCGAAATATCATAATCTCAGTAATCGTGACAAACAGTCATTACTAAAAACTGAATATACAGTGCATTTCTTTAAGTCCCCCTCTTTTATACGGGTCAACTCAAAAAATTGAAATTTGAGATGATGGAATTGATGCATGAATACTTTAATACTTTTTTTGAAGTGAAATTGACAGATGAAACTTTCAAGATGACGACTGGGCGCCATCTGCGTAGAAAAATTCAATGGAAAGAGGGGTCCTGTGACATATCATTTTGAAGCTCTTGACGAATAATTCACAACCCTAGAATATAAAGTCAATATCTTCACCTGCTAAAAAATGGCGGAACATTTAATAATTTCCTGAAAACAAACACATTGATATCGATATTTCTAGAAATATTCCTTCTTATCTGCCATATGGCAATTCCAACAACCCGATAAGATTTGTTAAGTTATTTTTTGTTTATAAAAACGACAAAAAAATGTCAGTACGACAATGAACATCATTGTTTAGTTAGAATATTCTCATTTAGTTTTCGGTTTTACTAGTACTAGTCAACAATCTCTAAAATGGTCAATTCACGTCCATTGGAAGAAAAAATTGAAGAGATTTTTATTTACGGTGCGGCGCGTAACTTTCACGAGACCGATAGGATTTCCAATATACGTTTTTCGAATCGTCCTATCTCTAGAAAATATTTGAGGGAACTTGTATCCAAATTGACAACTACCGGAAGTGTACATAACAAAAATCCCCCAAGGTCAACCGTCCATTCCGGAAGAACAGCACACGCAAATAATTGGTGAGATGGTAGTAAATCCCAAACAGTCTACTTATTCCGTCGGGAATGTTTGTGTGGAGACTTTTGAAGAGGAATAGGTATCATCCATACAAAATTAAAATGGTACACTAAATAACTTAAGATTACCCTTATCGAAGAACAGAATTCTGCAAAATCATGACAGAAACCATTGCAACCTTACCGTTATTGGAGTGACATCAATCCTCACGTTTTCCGGAAAACATACCCAATATCCAGAAAAAATAACGTTTGGGCAGGAATATTGGGATACCATATTGTAGGACCTCTATTTATTGATGAAAATTCAACAAGGGAATTGTATTTAAATATGCTAACCCTCTCATCACTGAAATCGTCGAAGCGAATCCTAATGATTTGATATGGATATTGTATTCCAACAAGATGGAGCACCACCACATTACTCCAGACAAGTAAGAAAATATTTGGATACTACTTTTCCCTGTCGTTGGGTTGGCCATCGAGGTCCTACAGAATGGCCAGCCCGCTCGCCAGATTCAACACCTTTGGATTTTTTTTTGGGGCTATTTGAAACAAG